GCATATCACCACAGGTCCCCAAGCCTGGGATTGATAGCAGGTCCTGGGAGGTCAGAGAGGGCCAATGGGGAACAGTGGCCGTCTAGGGAGAGAGCAGTAACGATGACACCCGGTTCTGGTCCTGCTCTCACTCTTCATCCCAGAGCAAGTGTCTTCACTCTGTGAGCCTCGTTTCCTCGCTGTGGAGTACAGGGGTTGGGGCTGTGAGGATGAAATGCGGTATTTGTAAAAGCTTTTTCCTAAAGTATAGTAGTAAGATTCATGTTGTGATTTTCTTGAAAATTACCTGATGTTTATATCATTGAAATAATGAGAAAATAAATCCAAAACTCAAAACAACACACGCACCATCAGCCGTGAGTCTTATGACTGGCCTGGGGATATTTTGGAGAGAGAATTAGTCCTTCAGGTGCAAGGAGGTTAGGTTCCTTTTAATTGTGGTAGATTCCTCCCCACTCGGTAAGACTCTCCCACTGGCGAGGTGATCTCAGGTAGGTGGGATCACGGCTGTCTCTCTCGGGTCCCATCCTCTGGAGCGTGTTCAAATAGCAGCTCTCCTCAACCCGGTTCGGAGGTATCCTGTTGTGTATGTTTCGTTGAAGGTGCTGTGAAGGTTGAGAAATGTCTGTAGGCTGCACCGTACATAAGACCAGCTTTTCTGAACCGCTGAGTCTAGAATATTGTTTTCAGGAGACTAAACTGCCTTTCAAAGAAGAACTTAGGAAGCCACCACCATCAGTTGACGTTGGGCTCCTGTACTTTTCCCTTGAAACTTGGCAGGTTCACTTGGGGCACCTTGGCCAGGCTCCTGGTGAGGGCTCTCCCTGCCCACCTCATCACCTCCGTGCAGCTTCTGGGAGACTTTGCTGAGTCACAACATAGTGGTGCCTCTGAAATCTGTTCCTACCCAACTACTTAATTAAATAGTATGTAAGTTGATGAAGTACGAAAAAAAGCACTATCTCTAAGAAAACTAATTTGTATGTTTTGGAAAGACTAGAAAAGGTGAGTTGCTAATTAGCTGTAGCATTAGAGATGAGAATAACAACTGGGGTTAGTTTCTGGAAATCGAGCTTTGCAAGAGTCTAATTCAGTCCACTTTACATACTCTGAAATTAGAAATCGTAGGTGGTACATCAGGGGGATGATCTACACAAGAAAAGCAGTGAGAAGCCCAATCAAGAAGCCCATACTCAAAGGAGAGATTTTGGCTCTATGTTCTAAGTTTAAGTAGCACACACACATTTTTGTGTTTTAAATTAATAGACGATAATTGAGGCATTTTTTTTTCTGGTTTTCTACCACGCTTTCAATTCACCAAGACACTAACCATCACTTTGGACAAGAGAGCTTCTTCATCTCCTTGTTGGTAGGTTTTGAAAGACAGAAAATATTTGCGTGATCAGTGAAAAATACATTTTTTACCAAAAAAAATCTAATTTACATTTATTTATAAAATATTTCAGGCAATTTATATGTGCATTTTTAGCTGAAGAGCAGGACGTAAAGAAAGTTTTATCTTTCTGGGCTAGTTTACACTCAGTGTTAGTATATGTACAGTAATGATGGGTTTCATTGTTTTCTTTTTGCTTCAAGCTTCTTGATAATTTTTAAGAGTGGCTCGTTAATTTTATTTTTTGTTTGTTTTAACTATAGCTCTAGGATGGCGCTGTCCAATAGAACTTTCTGTGACAATGGTAATGTTCTGTATCTGAGCTGTGATATGATAGCCACGAGCCATATGTGTCTACTGAGCATTTGAAATGTGGCTACTGCAACTGAGGGACTGAATTTTTAATTGTATTTAATTTTCACTGATTTAGATTTAAATTTAAATGGCCACATGTGGCTAGTGGTTGCTATATTGGAAAGTGCAGTTCTAGGATTTTTTCTCTTCTCTGTACCAATGTACACCACTTGGTTCATTTTCTTTTATCTATTGCTTCAGCTAAAACTTCTGGCATATTGCTGAATACTAGTGGTGACAGCAAGTATTCAGCCAGGTTCCTGATTTTGGTTGTACACTGTGTTTAACCATTTCTAATACTTGCTATTTTTAATGAGTGGTATTTGTTATCTTAAGGCAGTCTCACTATTTATTATTTTATTTAGAGTTTTTAAAAATTAGGAATGGTTGCTGAATTTCCTCAAGTAGCTCTTCAGAGTCTACTGATAGGAACAAGATTTTCCTCTTCTCAGACTGACCTTTGGTTTTATTATCACCATCTCAAATACCTGGGTTGCTACGAACGTGTAACAAAAATAAATTTTCACGCAGGCCCTGATGGCCTCACCCGAGCCACTGTGTCTTAGACAATCTAGACTATTCACTACTTTCCAAACGAGCCTTTTCTCCCAAGTTTAGTGTCTTTGCTCAAGCTGTTCTTCCACTGAGAATGGCCCTGCCGGTCAAACTTCTGTCCCTCCTCCAACTGGCCTTCCAGCAGAGTCGTGTCACAAGTGTTGATTTATATTATTATGACCACAGTTGACCGTATGACAATCAACTTTTCTTTTCTTGTACAACTTTATGCTTTTCCTGGAACAAGAAGTGCCTTGTTTTTCTGTTTAGTTTTCTATACTCTGTCAATAGTTAAGCATCAAGCTTTGTACCAGAATAACAATAACATACTCTCAAGACAATCAGATATATAAGGAAATCACAAAGTGCAATTTTTTTCTTAGAGCCGCCCCTCCTGGACCCTCGATCCTTCCGTCCCACTGGGCCTGGTCTGGGGCCTCCTGTGGTCCTGTTCCACTGAGGTGGCATAAGCCTGGCTTCCGGAAAAGCCTAGCAGAGCAAAAGGAAGGCTGGAGGTCTCGAGGTTCAGAATTCAGACTTGATGTGATTCCATCGAATCTGGTGACCCCGTGCCCAGTGTCTGGAGTCCGGAGCCCCTCCAGTGGGCAAGCATCACCTGCTGCTTGCTTCCTGTCCTCCTGCAGGCTGCGCTGGGGCTCCCTCTGCTCTGCCTAGTTGTTTAACACACACATACGCTCTCTATCTTCAAAGTTTTATTGACGTCTTTTGGTGCTGCCCTTTCAGATTTCTTGGCTGTCATTTTTGTGAGATTTGGGAAGAAGAGAGAAGCTCGTATATTCCTGACTGGCTGTCTCTTGCCCTCAGCCTCACCACATATGTAAAGGCCTCATTACCAGCCTGCCGCCCTCCTCCACACACTCCCCTGGGCCCTGCAGACTGCTCTTCCCCTGGACTGTAGGTAGAAGGTCCATCACTCTCTGCCGCTGTATGGTCAAGCTCCTTGAGTTTGCATGTGTCGTCCACAGCTTCTGCATGTGGAGTTCAGTGAACGAGGAGAGAAAGGGAAGACTTACTAGCGATTGAAGGAATGCTCAGTCAGACTCAAGGAACTTGAATCAAATCCTACTGCCTTGTTAAGGTTGCTGGAAGTGAACCCAGGGATTTAATGTCTCTCTGTTAAGGTGTCATTATTGAAGCAGAAATTTGTCGTTTTTGTAGTGCAGACAGTTGAACCTTCAAAATAATCAACAACCAAACTGTCAGAATTGATCTTTGGTAACTGCGCATCCTCATCAGAGGTGGGGGGGCTTTGCCATCATTTGGTTTTTCTCTGGAGACCTGGACACCCTCCCTTTCCTCCCCTTGTTGACTCTCCGTCGGGAACCGGGCCCCAGGCTGTCTTGTCTGAGCCTCAGTGGCGGTCCCTCTCTCTGGAGCTGGAGTCAGAAGGCGCTCGGCTTACGAGCTTAGCCCTTTAAACAGTGTCACTAGGGTCTCATCACAGCTTTGCTCAGGCCCCTCACTGCCCTGGTCCCTTAGCCTGGACACATACCTGGAGTTTCCAGCGGTGCATTTGTTCTTGTTGACTTGTTCTGAATATTTTTTTTAAAAAGCAACATTTTCTTTAAATATGTAAGAATATTAATATAGTATGAATTTATGTACTTATTTAATCATTAGTATGTAATTCAATTTTTAGAATGAATATATTTTCATTTTTATTTTACAAACCTTTAGAAAGTATTTTCATCCACAAAACTTGGTTTATAGCCAGCTTTTCGGAGGCATCTGTATTCTTGAAACTGAAACACTCCCGTCTTCAATCCAACAATGTACATCCTGTATTGACGTATTCCTGCCACTGTTGTATGGGTCTAGACAGAGTGGCAGAGAGCAGAACTGCTGTCATTTTTACCTGGGCACGTGGCTCCTCCAGTATTGAAGTTTAAATAAATTATAACATTTTAGAGGTCACAAAATGTAGCAGAAATACCATGGACTTGTAGAGCCCCGAGTTCAGATGTGGATTCGGTCACGGTTTGTGTGATGTTGAGGGGTCGTTGTGCTGTTTGAACCTTGTGCCTTCTGTGTGTGAGGTGACTGGTGGAAGATGTGTGTGACTTGCCCTTGTGGGTGGTTATTAAGACCAAGTAAGAGATCTGGAAAATGGTTTAAGCTATAACATTATGCAAATTCAGTGATTTAATAACCCCATGAAGGTAACCTAAGACTTCATCACTAATATGTCATCTTGACTGATATAATCAACTAAATCTTATCAAATATTTAAATTTGCAAATTATCCTTGAGGTTGAATTCCCTAAAAGGACAAATGACATTCATGCAGGGGACTCTAAGCCTCCAAGACTCGCACAAATACCCAGTAGTGCCCATTTTTTCACACTAGGGGATGCACATCAGAGGAAGAAAGTGACGATTCTATTAAATTCAGAGGTTTGCAGTGCACGTTGGATGACTCAGTGCTTTCCACCACAGACCCAGTTATTTCTCCAAAGCTGATTGAAATGAACACAGAGCTAAGAATATTCTCAATAATATCGTTGGTGCAGGTTTGTTTCACAGAAACATAAGTTGCAAGATAACTACCTCATAGGCTTTCCGTTTGTAAATCTTTTAAACAGGTGTGCTCCTGTCCACCTGGGTGTCCCCAGCGGTGACATGCCTTCTCTCCTTGCAGTGGGCTGGCAGTCCCTCTTTCACTCTCTCTCCCTTCCAGACTGCAGTGGAGTCTGGGACAACCTCACGTGCTGGCGCCCTGCAGATGTAGGCGAGACCGTCACAGTGCCCTGTCCAAAAGTGTTCAGCAATTTTTACAGCAAACCAGGTATGTCTGCCGGTGTTGTTTCTGTCATGCGTAGGGTTTGCGTCTGAAGGGGTCACTTCCCCTTCAGGGCCTCAGTTTACTGAGTCATGGAACAGCGGTGCCATCATGTCCGAACTGGATTTAGGAGGCGGGAGGAGGAAAGGCTTCCTGTTACCTTCCTCTCACCTCCGCATCCTCTCTCACCTCCCCGTCCTCTCCCACCTCCCCATCCTTGCTCACCTCCCCATCCTCTCTCTCACCTCCCGTCCTCTCTCTCAGCTCCCCTCCTCTCTCCCACCTCCTCGTCCTCGCTCACCTCCCCGTCCTCTCTTACCTCCCGTCCTCTCACCTCCCCGTCCTCTCTGTCACCTCCCATCCTCTCTCACCTCCCCTCCTCTCTCACCTCCCCATCCTCTCTCACCTCCCGTCTTCTCTCACCTCCCCATCCTATCTCCCACCTCCAGTCCTCTCTCCCACATCCCGTCCTCGCTCTCACCTTCCATCCTCTCTCTCACCTCCCGTCCTCTCTCTCACCTCCCCATCCTC